TCAAAGAGAAATAGAGAAAAACAAATGAATTTATTATTTTTGTAATATTTTTTGTTGTTAATGAAGATGACTAAAGTCGTCTAAAGTCCCAGAAATTGCAATTTATTATTTCACTCGAGGTACTGAATTACATGTTTAATTTCTCAAGTCTTCGTCAAAGAGAAATAGAGAAAAACAAATGAATTTATTATTTTTGTAATATTTTTTGTTGTTAATGAAGATGACTAAAGTCGTCTAAAGTTAAAACTTTTTGTGTACTCGTTCCCACATTCTTTATTGGATTATATATTTGTGGGTCTTTATATAGGACATCTTCACTTTAGTGTCGTGCTCAATTTGTAAGTTCTGTTTGGATTTAATTTAAATAATTTCAAAAATGAATTCTACTGTTTATGTTGTTAAAAATAAGTTTGAATAAAATGAGTTTTAGATGATGAAGCTCAAACAAGAGCGAAGGTACGCCATTTGTGCTTAAAAACTCTTTAAATGTTTTTTTTTTCCAGCATTATATAGGACTTCCTTCCCTAGAGATTCATTTGGAAAAGTTTTATTTATAGCTACTCTACACTAGGGCTATAAATCTTAAAATTTTCGATTCCTGCCTCTTACAAGGTATGTAATTGGATTCTTTGTGAGTACCAGTATGACAGCTCTTGTACTCTGACCTGTTGAGGCACATTCCGCGATATATCTCCTCTACAATGCTCTAGGGCCGGGGCGGTGGGGACCCTCAAGGTTGATGTTCAACTTTTTTATAAATCTTAAGATTTAAGTCCCTGTTTAAGTCACATTATTTTTTTTATTCTCATTCTTCTACTCATTTTCAACCACATATTTTTAAATAAAATAATATTTTCATCACATTAATAACTTTTTATTCTTTTTCAACCACATATTTCCCATCACATTAAAAAAAAAATGCATTTTTGGGTTGATAATGTACGACAAACAGGGGCTAAGAGTCAAAATCCTTATTTGCACTGGATTGAGTTTTAGCATTGAAGTAGAATTTTAACTTCCTTGGAAAGAGGTCTTAAAAGCGCTTTCTCATCCAATTATTTGAGTTATATTGGATAAAAGACAAAAGATAAGTTATTTTTATCGTTACTCTACATATTTGTACATGAGACTTTTACTTTATACACGTGGCTTCTCATTCTGTTCTTGGAGATGGCTAAGGTCACTTGAATGGTCACCTAAGGTCCTGTATTTGACAAGATCGAAAAATTTATGTGGCATTGATATAATACAAAAAGGAAAAGATATCTTTTTTTTTTTTTTTAAATATCCCTTTAATTACTTTTTTGAAAAATAAATAAGGAAACTTTATAAACTTTCATTGTGACACCAACTTCTACATCAGTGGTAAGCGACCATAGCCGTCAATTATTGTCAGGAATATCATTAACAGTGGTTACATAAGTGATAACTGATGATATGAGGGTTAAAGCTGCTACTCTATTGAAGACGATATTGTCAACAATAATTGTGAATTAGCGTGCGATCGGTGATAGTTGACGATATTAGTATCAGTAATTCTGTATGAAATTATTAACACATATTAATTTCTATCAAAACACCTATAATAATATTGTAACGATCAGTGATAGATTTTTTTAGAGATTATTTGCCGTCATTAGTTTTTTTTATCTTTTTTTAATAATACCTGAGCGATCAACGATGATATTTTTTAATTATTATTATTATTATTATTTAAAAGGCCCCACAGATTTTTTGCCCAAGACCCCTGAATTGCTTCAGCTGCCTATTTTAGTTTTTTTTTTCAAATATTTTTTGTTTGCTAATATGAAAAGAACGCTTCAAACACAACCACTAATCGACTTGGACTAGACAATAAATGTAATGTCGTGTTCCCTTCTGAACAGGGCTAGTCTTCAATCAAGATCAGTTGAGACGTCCCTTATGTTGGTCTTGCGGCGATGTTGTCAAAAAACTCGAGTGTATCTCGATTTATTGTAAAATTGGACAGTTCGACCTTATTTACAACTCAAGTGTAACTTGTATTATCTTGTTTAATTTTATATTACATAAATGTAAATGATAATTTCAAGGTCAGAATAAGAGGTCACAATCAAATGTCTAGCATAAGCAATAGTATTGAATTTGTTTTGAAAAATATAAATAATAGTGAATCTTATTGAGTTCACACCTAAGAAGTTTTCCTTAGGTCAGCTGATAGAAATCCATTTGATGCCATTTCTCACATACACATCTCTCTAGTCAACACAATAATTTTTTTAAAAAATTGGAATACCAAAGCATAGAACTATATATATATATTGTGGGACAGAGAGAGAATTTAGGAAGAGGAGGAAGTAAAAGGGTATTGAAATGAAGCGGCGGAGAGAGGCGGAGATGTCGTCGGAGATAAGGTCAGCCATTCAAGAGCTGTCGTCTGCGGCTGAGAGAGACGTTGTTAAACCTGCGGCGAAGAGAGAAAGCGTTAAACCTGCGGCGGAGAGAGAAGGAGACGATCTTCAAACAACACTGCAAATTCCCATCAAACCATTTCTCTCTCTATGCAAACTTCTGATTCAAGTTCTTGGTTCATCTCTCTCTCTCTCTCTCTCTCTCTCTATATATATATATTTGATTAATGATTTTGAATGATTAATTTCTGTAAACATTTTTGTATAAACATTGGATACTTCAACTGTACCATGTGCAGATAAGATAGGGCCAACAATGGCTGTCCTGAGGCAAGACATTCATCAGAATATCCAGGTGAATTACCAACTAAGAGTAATGTTATTCATCCCCAGTGGGGATGAAAACACAATTTAGGTGGCGTTAATGTGGCATTAAATGATAGGTGAATCATTTAATTTCATCTATCATTTACAGTCACCTAGACTGTGTTTTCATTCCCACTGGGGATGAACTCATTACTCACCAACTAAAGGCCAAATGGCTTGTTTGGCACGTCCCACTCGATTACACCGGATATCATTTAAAAGTTACTTATTTAAAAAATAAGTTAAATACTTATTTTTATGGATACTTTGAAATATATGCTCTGGTAACTTAAAAAGTTAAAAATTCATGGATTATACTAAATTCTTGTCATTTTCAGTGTGTATGAGCAAAACACACGCATCTGTCCCTCATGCATCGAAAGTCTGCATCATAATTAAATCATTAAGGGATAAGAAAGAGGCACAGAACCAAGCCTTCAATTTGACTTTTATTCCTTACAATAATTCACCATCAAGCTTTATATTCATCTTTACTGAATACCCAATATACCCTTCTATTTTCAATGGTTTTTAAATTTATTAGAATGTTTTTAAATGGTCATCGAATAATTCTTTACGTCGTTAATCACTGAAATCGATTCTATATACGAAAATGAATGGTGAGATTGACTTGGCTATGTTATACTTATGTGACATAATCGTGAATGTTAATTGTAAAAAAAAATAAAAATCATAGATTGCTCTTTTCAAATACAATTTGTGGTCAACCAGAATCTACATGATCAAATAACGTTAAACAAATAAATATTGTTCAATAATAAACAATTCCGTCCATGAAGCTAATCTTGTACTTACTTATATCTTCAATCAATGTCTAGAGATTGGAGACGATCCATGATTCTGATCCATTGATATATTGGGATGTGGTTGAAATATTGAGGAAAGAGGTCAGTGAAGGAAAGGCCAAGAAGGGTCCCACATGCAGTAAAGCCTTTGTTTGGCTTACCAGGTAAATTTTTTCAATCTTGCTACCTGTACATTTTTCTTTACATCCTGATTTATCGAATTTACATTTGGTACAATCTCACACCACCTTTCACATTTAACAAATTTAATCCAACTAACATCCATCTACCACATCATTCATCTGTAAAGCAAGTGGTAAGAGAGGTCCTACAAATGAATTGACTCGGGATGTTTTCGTGCATGCATCCATGGCTGAAACTAACCACAAAATATATTATTTTTCAAAGCATTTACTTTTTTCAAATAAAAAAGTGATATTTAAAGCAACCTATTGATCTTGTCACTAAAAGACATTTCTATATTCAAATGTTATTTGCAGATCACTGGACTTTTCAGTAGCTTTGTTAAAATTACTCGTTGAGGATTTTGAGAGGAACATGGAACAAGCCGTGGAAGATTCATATAATATCACTCTTAAGCCATGGCATGGATGGATTTCTTCTGCAGCTTATAAAGTAATGTTACATTTCTTCCTTTTTTTAAATAGTTTTAATCGTGTTCGGGGCTGACCCAGGGGGTCTTGAGGGTCACGTGACCCCCTAACTTTTGATATTTATTATTATTATTATTATGTTGATAAAGTCACGTTTGGTATCGATTGAAATCTAAATTTTAATATAAATCAAAGTTAACAATTAATTTTAATAACATATTTCATGGAATTCATAACTGTTTTAACTTTTATCAAAATTTACTAAAAATTTGATTTTAATCTCCACCAAATAAGGGCAAAATCACAACAAATTTGAATTTTTCTTTTTTTCTCTTGCTCTCTTTTACTCTTTTCCTCATGCCTTTTAACAAAATCTTAACCCTTCTAATTTTTTAAAATTTGTATATAATTTCTCTATAAGTTTTCACATTTACTACAAATTTTCACTTTCCAATCAAATTGTCAAGTAATTAGAACCTAAATTTGCATTTGCTCTTATCAAACTGTGTATATAAAATATGTCTGAACTCATTATATCCAATTTGATTTATATTTAACGAATTGTATTTATTTGATTGATTATTAGTATTGAATATTAGTTATATGTTTTTCCTTTCGATTACTTGAATTGATTGTTTGTATCAAATATGTTATAAGATTTTTAAATGTAAATATGCATTTTCTTGTGATGAACAAAACATTAATAAAATGACTCTTCGAAATCAAATAGATGATGATGATTAGCAAAATATTAATGAAGAAATATTTTTTTAAATGTATGAATCATTTAAAAATCAAGAACAAAGAATTCGATTTGTACAGGATTTGATTGTGCCCTTAATCTAAAATGTCTGCATCCGCCCTTGATCGTGTTTTTGTATTTTTTGGAGTGGTCGGGGAATTGTGGCTTCTCGATTTACATGCAGAGCTCTGTCAAAACTGTGAACTATTAATTTTGCTTCACTGAAATCGCATCATCACCTCTCATATTGTTTGACTAAAGTAAATGACTTCAAAATATGCATTTTGTAACATTTTTTCGTACATATTGCATGTTTTTACCTATTCCTTCTTTACCGACTCAAGATTTTTCTTTCAATTTATATGCATTTTCATTTTATAGGTAGCTCTCAAACTAGTGCCCGACACCAAAAGTTTGATAGATATTCTCAAGGCCAAAGATGCAGACGATGATACGCTTAAAAAAGAGATGCAAACCCTCATTTCTTTAGTTGTACCCGAGTTAGAACGAAATTATGAAACTATGGTGAGTCACTACATTCATCTTTTCTTTTGTCGAAATCGAGTCACTTAATTTATAATCTTGTTTCAGTTAAATTACTTTGTCCAAGTATTGACTAATGGAAATGATGGTTCTAACGTAGTTGGACGGAGTAACTTGATTGAAATAGAAGTATATTAGGCGAGTTGGTTTGAACTAATAAAGTTTTCCATATTGAAAATGGAAAAATGAGTTCAATGAACTCTATTTTCTTTTTGAATTAATTTTAGTGTACAATATTCTTTGATAACAATGGTTGACAACCACATGTTTTCAAAATCCTAGTATGTGATGTAGGAAATAATTTTTTAAAATGGATAAGTATGATGATGCCAAATAAGATGTTGTCAACTAATATTGTAAATGTAGCATGATTCTTTATTTTCTACCCATAGTATTATGATATTTGAAGGGCTTTGTTTGGTGCACATAATTATTGTACATAGGGGTGTTCATAACCCTCACATGGGGTGGAGCCCACATTTTTGTGAACCTCACCCCATGTGAGGGTTATGTACACTTAGCATTTTTCATGTTTAATAGTATGTGCTAATCGTCTATATCCACTTTTCTTACTTTGCTCCTATCGTGCAGAGAACGTACGGGTTGGATAAGTTGAAGTCCACTTGAATGATATGTTTGGTACTTACTAACTACAGTACATAATTAGATTGTATAATTGAAAAAAAAATATTTTTTTCTTTTATACCGTCTAATTCATTCTAATTTACTTTATCAATCATGTAAAGTCAGACAAAATATGTACAGAGTTTAGTTTTGGCTGATCTATCGTTCTCCCATGTAGATAAATCTATTCCCATGCAATATAGAACGACGAAAAGGATAAGATTGTCCACTTGATGCTATAGCAGGAGAACTTTACTTACGATTCTCTTCAAATATGAGAACCGTAAGTAAAATTCTCTCCAAGTGGACAAGATATGACTTCCTGTTGTGGATAGGAGAATATTTCTGTATAAAGCTATATCTTGTACAATGTAAAATAGTCAAAATATTATGAAGTTAATCAAGAAAATTATACATATTTCTTGTGTATATATAATGACTGATGTGTTTGTGGATGGACTGAAAAGAAAAGGAAGAACAATGGAATGTAATCTGTTTTCATTAATTAAAATTCTGTACATGGGTTCCTGTATATACACAATGTTCAAATTAAAAAGGAATATATACAAAATCAATTTGTATCACTGGAAATAAAAAGAACGACTGCTGGAATATTTCCAAATGAACCGTGTGAATTTTAACAGAATCAAGTTGGAGCATGGATGTCGAGAATGCCGAACTTGCTTAGATGTTAATGTTAAGAATTGTGGGTCTATCTTAAAAGGTTAACCTTATTAAGAGGAGTAACACAATATCTTTATTAATTGGTCTGTGTCAACATTATTTATCGATGTGAGATATATATCTCTTAACACGCCCCCGCAAGATGGTAGCTCATTTGAGCAGACCAATCTTGAAATTCACGTGCTTATTTTTAGAGTTTTAACGGGATCAAATCGCTCATTGGAGTATAATGAGCTCTGATACCATGTTAAAAATTGGGGGTTCATCTTAAAAGGTCAACCTTATTAAGAGCAGTAACTCAATCCTTTATTAGTTGGTTTATATTTACATCTTTATTCGATGTGGGATATATATCCCTTAACAGTTAATAGAAAATAGCTTTGCCGAGGAATTTTGTAAGTATCAGTAATTTGTAATTGAGATGGAGTAGAAGGTGTAGCAATTTGTTCGGACTGAATTTTTTCTCTCACCATATGTCAATTTAAATGAATATGCTTTGTGTATTCATGGAAAATCGGGTTTGCTGCAATGTGTAGTACCAGCTCGATCATCAAGTGTAGCTTGTTGAACTTGTGCATTTATTCTATAGGTACACGAATCGTGATAAGTAATAAAGTGAAATTTTAAGCTCGAATATCGTCCAAGAGACTAATTACCTACTATCAATTTTTATTCTAAGCCTAGTTTCAATCCAAACTAATGTGTAACCAATTTAACAATTCAAGAATTTATGTTAAAACTAAAGCTATCTAAAATATTTCAATGCACATAAAGACTTTGCGAAGATTTATGTGATTGAGTAGTTAGGAATTCTAATTTCACTTATAATTTAATATTCATCTAATCCAACATCATTTGACTTTTTTTTCCGTATGTTTTAACAATCAAATTAACTAATTTTAGCTTATGTAAATTAACCATATTCTCTTTCGAGTAAAACTAACCATATTCTAATGCCCGAATTCATTATATCCTTATGTAAATTCATACATATATAAACACATTATTTTTTAGGAATTCAATTAAGATTGCATAAGCTATAAAAGTATCTCCCGATCTCTTGTCGAAACCTATGTCACTTGTAGCACGAGCTAGCAAATATAGGGTCCCAATATTGTCATAAATCAAACAGTCGGTGATCAAACAATTGAATGTCATTAGACACACAATAAGCAATCAGCACATAATCAAGGTTGCATGAAATCTTTTGAATTATATAAATATTAAATGTCACGCAAGCTTTCTCCAAGGGTTGTCAAAACGGTATTTACCAGGTTCAGTTTCACATTACCTTTTTCTACCAAAAAACCAATCCAAACAGTTCCAACCCACAACCAAGATATTCACATCAGTTGCTCATCGATTTGTAGCCACAAAGACAAGAAGAAAAACAATGAAAGAAGGCAAGAAACGAGACCAAAAGTCAAAGAAAGCCATACGTCTTCTTTCACCAAAAGAGGCTGCCAATTTTCTCTCTTATTGCACATGGTTTCTTTCTTTTCTTTTCACATAAATCACCCACTAAAAGGTTAGGACAAAAACACCATATATATATATATATGCTAGGTTAGACTTAGTTGGACCAATAAAATGGGTTAAATGGGTCAAGATTCAAAGTTATCCAAGATGTAATATAAATGAGCCATAAGCAACATGAATTATTTAAATTACTTCCAACGACCTACATTGTTTTCGGGTTGAGCCTTTAGACTTAGTTGTAGGTAACAATTTAATCCAATGTTTATTTTATCGCCTGAATTTATTGGGTATTAAAATCCAACAAATCTCCACATTGATACTCAATCAATCTGCAAGCAATCAAAATACAAAGTTAACGCTTGCATTATTAAAGGCAACCAATAAAATTGGAATCACAAACCTTATCT